TTCACTAGGATATATTTTAGCACATTGGAAAGATTTGGGAGGAATCTCATGGGGTAATTTGAAGAAAGATAATCGGATTAAATATGGTAACCAATGGTGGCCTTTGTATAAATTGTAAAGTGGTGAAAAGTAGCCCCCAATGGAACTTTAAATTAAACCTGAGTGGCAGAAAGAATGTGGCATTAATTTGGCCCCATAGGACCCTTTGGTCCTAGCTTTTGAAAGAGGTAATAGGCAGAAAATTAAGACATGTTGTTCAGCATGTAGTATAGGGTGGAGTTGTTTGAAGTTGGCAGAAAAGCACGAGAAAGATAACATTATAGATGTCCAAGACTTTTAGCTGAATTACACCAGGCCAGCAGTACACTCCCCAGTAAGTGTAATCTCAGGGGTTCAAAAAAAGTCCCACAATTTTGGGGAATCAATTGGCTAAAGAATTAGAGCAATGGCAGTCTCTGCCTAGGGAAGGAACACTCCCACTCCATATGTAGATGATTTTTTAATTGCTACCGAAACTACTAAAGAATGTTTTAAATGGACAGTGAGCCTTTTGAATTTTCTTGGACTGAATGCTTATCAAGTATCCCAACAGAAAGCCCAGCTAGTGTAGCAACAAATGATCTACCTCAGATATGAAGCCTCCAGAGGACAACAGTCCTTGGGAACTGCCCAGAAGGAAGCAATATTGCCAGACACCTAGACCACATACCATAAGAGAACTCTGTGCTTTCCTTGGTATAACAGGTTGGTGCTGACTGTGGATATACAACTATGGATCGTGAAACCTTTATATGAATTGGTGAAAATCTCTAAAAATACTGTGATATGGATATGAACAGGGCCTTTGAAAAATTGAAGGATGAACTCATGAGGGCCCCTGCTTTGCAGCTTCCTGACATGAATAACCCATTTTGGTTATTCTTACATGAGAGAGGTAATAGCTTTAGTAGTTTTGGCACAACATTTGGGTCCTTACAAAAAGGCAGTAGCCTATTTTTCTAAACAACTCGGTACTGTGAACAAAGACTGGCCCTTCTGCGTTAGGGCAGCAGCAGCAATAATTATGAACATTGAAGAAGCAAGGAAGTTTACACTAGGTGTTGGGGGTTGAATTGTTCCCCTTTCTTTCTGTGGAATTTTTCCCATTGCTATGCTAAGTATTTGTGGCTACACGTTAGTAGCAATAGTTTTCTCTCGCAAGGGGGTGGGGGATAGGGGGACACCAGAAAAGGAAAGGTGGGACAAGGGCCTGGGCTCTCGCTCTCTCGCTTGGCTCATGGAGTCAAAGGAAGATGGCTGGTGCTCCTATCCACCGTCCTCCCCACCATCCCAGCGCCGAGATCCACACTCTCTGCTGTCAGACACAACTCTGCTGCTCTCCCACCTCACCCTACTATCTCCGGACACTCTGCTGAGCTCCATGACCAACACCATGAGGGGGGAGTCGCTCCCCCATCCCCCTCACCCCTGGGCCGCTGCCGCCATCACCCAGCCCTCTTCAACCGCGTGGGACCTGCCCTGCCCCCAGCACCAGTAAGTGAGCACAGGGAGAGGGAGCCTGTAGCCAAAAAAAGGGACTGGAACTGAGCTATACTGTTCTGTTTTGTTGTCAGTTTTTATAACTGTTGTTGTTTCTACTATTTTGCCTTGTTAGACATCAGTTATTCCTATCCCCATATCTCCTGCCTGACAGCCTCTGATTTGAAACTATAATAATTAGAGGGGAGGGGGTTGCACTCTGCATCTCAGGAAAGGGGTTCTCGCCTTTCCTTAACAAATACCTGTCTTTCACACCAAGACATCAGGACAAAAGAAGACTGTCTTAGTGTCACACATCATGTGAGCTCTTTTAGATCAGAAAGCGAGCCACTGGCTGTCTCCTTCAAGGTTTTTGAAATACCAAGCAGTCCTGGCCGAATCTGATGATAATGAAATTCAAGTGACCAATATTGTTAACCCTGACTCTTTTCTGCAAGGAAAGTCTGAAGCTGAACTTGCAGTACACGACTGTCTAGAAACCATTGAAGCTGTGTATTCCAGCCGTCCAGATCTAAAGGAGGAGCAGCTCCCAGATGCCATGAACTGGTTCACTGATGGCAGCAGTTTGTGAGACAGGGAGTGCAAATGGCAGGGTATGCTGTGACTACAGTCTTGGAGGTAATCAGTCAAACCCATTACCAGCAGGAACCACAGCACAAAAGGCTGAGCTGCTGATAGCCCTCTCTCAAGCATGAGAACTGGCAAAAGGAAAGAAAGTTAGTATCTGGACTGATTCCAAATATGCTTATGAAATTGTTCATGCCCACTGAGCTGTATGGAGAGAGAGGACTCCTGACTGCACAAAAGAAGATCATCAAATATGCAACTGAAATCTTCAGGCTTCTTGAGGCAGTGAAACTCCCATTGCAAGTGGCCATTATACATTGCTGAGGGCACTATAAATGTAACATTCTCCCAGAAGGTTTTTTTCCCCATTTGGCAGAGACGTCCTGTAAATCTTCCCTAGCCTGAGTCAGGAGATAAGTGTCTTGGCTTGCAAAGCAGGATGCGACCAAAAGTATATATTCTATCACCATCTGTTGAAACCAGGTGGGGCAGTGCTCTTTATCCCCAGGGGAGATATCTTCTGTTAATGGATCATCTGTTAAAACCAGATTCCTTTTCTTTTCCACAACCCATCCTCCCTCAAAGAGATACCACCTGTTAATGGGCCATTGCATGACTGATAAAATTACATCATCCCATTGGGAGATGCTCCACCTAGGGAAGGAGCCAAGCCTTTCCTACCTAAATAAAATCTAAGATTAGAAACATCAGAGTAGCCTTTTTCCCACTGGATCCCAGAGGAAAGTCGGACCTTTTCCACATCATCGCTGGACCTTCGGAGGAAAACTGCACCCTTCTACAGGAGCACTGCTTCAACAGAACCACATCCCTCATCCAGGAGGACTGCAGCCACCATTTATTGGGACTGCTACCAACACCCTGACTGACAGTGTGCCAGGTTGTATTCTGACACTGTCAGTGGTTTTTCTTTTGCATTATTGCATGTATTTTATTTTTTCTCTTTTTTCCTATTAAATTGTATTAGTGACTTGGAGTCTCTCACTGGTTTTGCTTTCAAACCAATACAAATACAAAAGAAAAAAAACCAACAAAACAGTGACAGAGTCAGAAATACAACCTGACACCCTGTCAGTCAGGGTGTTGGTAGCAGTCCCATTAAGTGGTGGCTGCAGTCCTCCTGGATGACGGATGTGATTCAGTTGAAGCAGTGCTCCTGTAGAAGGGTGCAGTTTTCCTCCGAAGGTCCAGCGATGATGTGGAAAAGGTCCGACTTTCCTCTGGGATCCAGTGGAAAGGACTGCCTTCGCATCCCAAACCCCAGTTTTTTATCTAGGTAGGAAAGGCTTGGCTCCTGCCCCTGGCTGGGGCATCTCTCAATGGGATGATGTAATCTTATCAGTCACACAATAGGACTTAATGGCCCATTAACAGAAGATATCTTCTGGAGGAAGGATGGGTTGTGAATAGATAACGATGATCATCCCCCTGATTTTATGAGATGGCACATCAGCAGAGGATATCTCCCACAGAGATAAGGTTCACCACCCCTCCTACATTTTAACAGATGGTGATAGAATAGACATTTTTGCATTGTACGCCAGGACATAATCCACCCCTTATTCTATTACCATCTACATCATACCCAAACCAATACCCTCTTACAGATATATAATACAAAATGAAACCTTACATACAGTTCTCACTAAAAATTAGGTCTCCTTGTGGTGCACAATGGGTTTCCCCATCTTTCTGCATTACCCACCAAGTGCAACCAGGTC